ATAAAAAATGATTAAAAGCAGGGGATCAATGGCTGAGCAGAGCTATAAAGGATGTGTTCCCTGCAGGGAATTTCTTCTACAACATCCCTCTTCCCAACTCTGAAGAACTGCCTGCCATCCACCTTCTTGAGTAATTCCCTTTTTTAAAACTGTGGTCCCCGGAAGAAAAATGGGACCTTGTGCCAAGTAATGTGTGAAGCCGCAAGAGAAACCGGCCATCTTCACAGGACAGCCATTTTACTTGATGGTAAAGAAGACAGTTTTATGATACTGTAAGCCTAAGTGTTAGAGAGTAAAGGACACATTTTGCATAATGTCTTAAAGATAAAATCAGATTTTTTTTGAGGCAGGCCATTTTTATGGACACATTCCTACAGGACTAGGAGTCAGAAGAGTTTGAGAAGTAAATGGTGAGGCACTCACTCCAAGTGGGCCAGTTCTACTTGTGGAATAGCTTCAGTTGTGACCAGGTCTTTTCTTAATATTGAATAGAAGTCACCACTCTTTTTTTTTTTTTTTTTTTTGCGGTACGCAGGCCTCTCACTGCTGTGGCCTCTCCCGTTGCGGAGCACAGGCTCCGGACGCACAGGCTCGGCGGCCATGGCTCATGGGCCCAACCGCTCCGCAGCATGTGGGATCTTCCCGGACCAGGGCACGAACCCGTGTCCCCTGCATCGGCAGGTGGACTCTCAACCACTGCGCCACTAGGGAAGCCCAACCACTCTTAAATGACCATCATTATAAATGAACTGTTCTCGATTCTGAGTAGACTTCTAGTTATTCCCAAATAGCAGAAGACACAGATCTGTTTTTATCAGCTTCCTTCCTCAACCTGAACACTCCATGCATTTTAGCCAACCTGCTTATAAAGTCCTTCCTGGACCTGGTTCCTGTCGGCTTCGCGACTTCCAAGGACCCCACGAATAGAGTGTGGTGTGGCTAGTTTCTGGGTACAATGGAACGGGAACATTCCATTATCTGGCCATTTAATATTGTTAATGTGGAGGAGATTGTTTCAATTATTTTACAAGCTTCATCACAATTAGATTTGTGATCAAGTAACAGCCTCAGTTCCCTTTGTCTTCAGCTCTCTTCTTCCCAGTAGTTAGGCATTTACATTTTTCAAACCTAAATAGAAGAATTTATACATTTCATTTTATTGATTTCAGCCCAGTTTTTTTCATAATAAGAAAAGATTCCATATCTATATGTATCCTTTCCATGTCTTCAGTCTTTTATAAGTAAGAATTTTGACTAAGCCTTTAGGAACATTCAAATATTTCTTGAGCATCCTATCTCCAGCCAGGTACTGTGCTAGGGCGCAGGGTCCGCACACATGAATAATAGTAAAAAAGTTATGACAAATGTTAGAAAAAAGAGATACACAATGATCCATAATAGAGGGAATCAGCCTCGTTAGGAAGGTGATAATCAGGCTGGCAGTGAGTTCTTACTACGTGCCAGCCACTGGCTTGAGTGCTTGAGAAGTACCAACTCGGCCCTCAACAACTCTGTGATGAAGGTTCTATTATCAGGCAGAGGAAAGTTAAGTTTCCCAAAAATTACATAGCTTATAGTGGTGAAGGAAAAGCAGAGTTAATAGAGCAGATTCACTGGAAACTCTTCTGGCAGAAGAAACAGTACATACAAAGTAGGAAGCAGCATGGGAGTCCAGGGAGGGAAAGAAAGTACAGCTGGAGCCAAGATGATAGTGGGGAGGAGGACTACCGGGGCAGGGGAGGGGCTGAAGAGAGAGGCAGGTGCTAGACCACACGCCTGTAAGTCATGGAAAGAAACTTTGGTGTTCTAAGAGCAATGGTAAATCATTATTAGGCAAGAGTGATGATAGGAGAATTGTGTTCAGTAACAATCATTGGCTGGTAAGGTAAGGACAGGAAATATACTTTGGGTTTAGTGATGTGTCAGGTCGAAGTAGTGTGAAGCCCTGAAGTAAGAGATGGTGAACAGTGGGTGGATCAAGAGATACTTGGCAGCTAAAACAGATAGGAGTAGGTGATTCTTAGATCCGGAGTTTGGGGAGAGGGAAGTATCAAGGATGATTTCTGTGTTTCTGGGTTGCTGTAACTGATGAATGTAAATAGAGTAAGATAAGCAACACTGAGGGGGAGTTCCCTGGTGGTCCAGTGGTTAGGACTTGGTGCTTTCACTGCCATGGCCTGGGTTCAATCCCTGGTCGGGGAACTAAGACACTGCAAGCCTTGAGGTGAAGCCAAAATACAAAAAGAAAAAGGAAAAAGATAAGCAACACTGAGAGAGACTCAGACATAGGGAGTAGAGGGTGATGAATTCAGTTTGGATTGTGTTGAGTGGAGACATCCAAATGACGGTCAAGGAGGGCAACTGGAAATACTGGTCTGGGGCTCAGAGGAGGGGGCCGGGCTAGAGATTTGAATCCCCTATTTTGGTGATTAGTAAAGCAGGAAGTGAGGGTGAGACTGCCTGGGTTCAGCATTTGGAGTGAGAACAGGGCTTAGGACTGAAGTTCCAGCATTCAAGGGGCATGTAGAGGAGGATGAGCTTGCAAAGGAAACAGAAGGTAAGGTTAGGAAGGGGGGAAGAAAAGCTGTGTGTTTTCTCAGAAAACTGAGGGAAAAGAGATTTCAGTGCCCAGTGATGCTGTTGAGAGGTCAAGTAAGGTAAGGACAGGAAATGTCCTTTGGTTAGTGATGCGGAGGTCACTGGTCCCCTTAGTGAGAGCTGTTATCACTGCAGTAATGAGGGTGGAAACTAGAGTAGGCAGGACTGAGGAAAGGGCAGAATATGAAGACAGTGAATCTAATCAGTTTCTTAGGCTTTTATTTTGCTCAGAAGGGGAACAGGGCAGGATAGTCGCTAAAGAGTGGTGTGGGGAAATTGATGGGGGAAATCCAGTTGAGAAAGACATTGAATATACAAGAGAAGAGCAGTCATCAATTTTCCAAGTTACAGGAGAGAATCCAAGGCATAGGTGGCAGGATTGGCCATACTCCTTCTGTCAGCAGTTATTTAATTGAGCAGCTAGTATATGTCAAACTCTGTAATAGGTGCCAGAGATACAGCAGTAACCAAGCCAGACACCTGGCCTTGTGGAGCTTATACTCTAGTGGCAAGAGACTAACAATACATGTATAAATAAATAATTTCATCTAGTGTTAACTGCTATGTAAAAACTGATACGGAGTAACTAAGGGGGAAAGTTTTTGAATTTGTGTTCAATGCCAGAAATCATTTTTTAAATTGTGTGAAATACACATAAAATTTCCCATCTTAAACATTTGCAAGTGTGTACAGTTCAGTAGTGTTAAGTGTATTTATATTGTTGTGCAACCACACTCCAGAACTTTTTCATCTTACAAAACTGAAACTCTATAGCCATTAAACAAGTCACCTTTTCTCCCTCCCCCTAGCCCCTGGCAAATACCATTCTATATTTCTGTCTCTAGGAATATGCCTACTTTAGGTGCTTCATATAAGGGGAATCATGCAATATTTGTCTTTTTGTGACTGGTTTATTTTACATAGCATAATGTCCTCAAGCTTCATCCATGTTGTAGCATATCAGGATTCCCTTTTTATGGCTGAATAATATTCTATTATATGTACAAACCACATTTTAAAACAACAAATGACTTTTTAGCATAAGTACCCTAGTTATATGCTGGTATAAGTATATACTTAAAATTTCGTTTTTTTAAAAAACCTGAAATTCAAATTTATCTGGGCATTCTATATTTTACCTGGCTACCCCAAATTGAAAACACAGGCTTGATCAATAAGGGTTACAATCTTTTTAAACTCTGACTTCTTTGAGCACTTGAGAAAAATGTGTATTCTGTTGTTTTTGGATGGAAAAGGTTAAACATGGTGATCGGAACAAAGGGGCACGTCACTGAAGGAGAGCTATACAGTCGTCCCTCGGTATCCACAGGACATTGGTTCCAGAAGACCCCGTGTGTACCAAAATCCGTGCACGTTCAAGTCCCATTAGTTGTCCCTTCCTATCCACAGATGCGAATCCTGCGAATATAGAGGGCCGACTGTAGTTGTCAATATATATTAAGTATCTACTCACACTGCAGGGTCAAAAAGCAAAGGCCTTGGGGACACCCATTCATGGGCTCTGGCCTCGGCCCAGCCACTGAGCGTCCTTAGACAAATTATTTAATGTCTGAGCCTCTTTTCACATTTGTAAAATAAGAAAACACTGAACTCCTAGGGTTGTTGTGAAGATAAGATACCACAGGTAAAAAAGCATCTAGTACCAACCTGATGTGGCCTATTGCTCCTCTCCCTCATACTCTTGCAGCTTTTTGGATTTTTAAAAAAAATTTTTTTGGCTGCGTTGGATCTTCGTTGCTGTGCGTGGGCTTTCTCTAGTTGCGTCGAGCGGGGGCTACCCTTTGTTGCGGTGTGCAGGCTTCTCATTGCAGTGGCGTCTCTTGTTGCGGAGCACTGGCTCTAGGTGCCCGGGCTTCAATAGTTGTGGCACACGGGCTCAGTAGTTGTGGCTCGTGGGCTCTAGAGCACAGGCTCAGTAGTTGTGGTGCACGGGCTTAGCTGCTCTGTGGCATGTGGGATCTTCCCAGACCAGGGATACAACCCGTGTTCTCTGCATTGGCAGGCGGATTCTTAACCACTGCGCCACCAGGGAAGTCCCTGCTTTTTGGATTTTTAAGATATAGGGTCAGAGTAAGCCACAAGGGCTTTAAAATGCCTAGTGGTGGTTGCTTGCAAGAGCCTAATTAGAACCTTTTGTCCCTAAAATTCTCCCCCCTCTATTGGCAAAATTTCCACCATCTGGATTTCACTTTGTGGTGTAAGGCTTTGAACCTTGTTAAAAATCACACTGCGTCAAATGGTGTGGCCCTATTACCAGCCCTTCGGGCGTGGTCTGGTAATAGGTTTGGTTCCGGCAGTAAAGCGAGGAGGTGAGCACGTTCCTGGCTTAAGAAAACCTCTGGGCTCTGGTAGCCAGCGACTCGGCGGGGCGGCTGGGCGGCCGGGCGGCCGGGCGGCCGGGCGGCCAGGCGGAAGGGTAAGCCTCCGTCCGCTCCGCTCCGCCCCGTCCCGGCCGAGTAGCCCCGCCCCCTCGCCGCCCCGCTTCTCCCGCCGCACCGGGCAATCCTGGTTGGTGGTGCCCCGCGGTCGGCGCCGGGAGTGGGAAGCATGCGCGGCGACTGGGAACTGGGCGCCGCGGCTGGAGGCCCGCTGCTGCTGTGCGCCGCGCTGCTGGCCGTGGGCTGCGCACTGGGTCTGCGCCTGGGCCGCGGCCTGGGGGCTGCGGACCGCGGGGCGCTAGCCTGGCTCTGCTTCGACGCCCTGGTGCACTTCGCGCTGGTAAGTGTGGTCGTCTCGGCATCGAAAACGCGGGCGGACGCCGCCTCTCTTGGGACCCTTCCCTCCCTCGTCCCAGAGAGTTTCCAGAAAACGACATGGACGACTCGGCCGCCCCGTCCCCTGTGGCGGGAGACCCGGGAAACCTGTGGAGGCCGCGGTGCCCGTGGCCTTTGGCCAGATACTACACCTCTCCGAGGTCCCAAGTCTGTAAAAAGAGAGCGCAGCCTCCCTATGGTGCCAATTCCTCTACCAAAGAAAAAACAAAAAATCAGAAAACCGTGAAAATTGTTATTCGTGTACGGTGTTGTTAGTCGGTTTGTAAACTACAGAAAGGCCTGGCTTACTTAATCTTATCCTGCACATAAATGTTGAACGTAATTGAGAGAGTTTTTGAATGCCCCAGAGGGAGCAGGGAGAGGTGATGAGGCGTGCTGGGCCCTGGACCAAAACCAGCCCCCCGCCCCGCAATAGTAATCACCATTTGTTGGGTGACGACTGTATGCAGGCACAGTACTGTGTTTAAAATTTCTGACCTATGAACACCCCGTAAGGTACTTGTTATTGTCCCCGTTTTACAGAGGAGAAAACGGGCCCTGCAAAGTTAGGTGACTTTATAGTGCCACACAACTGGCATGATTCAGAGTCAGGTTTAGTCTGGCTCCAAAGCTTGCACTTTCTTTCACGCCAGGCTTTAGGAAACATATCCTTAAAAGTTCAACTCACTTTATAAATGGCCAGGACGGTTGTATTTAAGGGATTCTATTGAAAATGCCCCCATCCCTGTGCACGCACTTCTTATTTTAAAGCTTTGTTTAAAACTATGCCACAATATCTTTTTTTTGCAAATTTGACCTTGCTTCAATCTAGGCAAACCTATAGCTAATGTGAAGCCAGAGTCTATACAATCCATCCTCTTCGGCAGCTGCGGATTCAACCAGTGGAGAATAGAAAATACCAGAAAGAAAAAAAAAAAATCCAGAAATTTCCAAAAAGCAAAACTTGCATTTGCCACCCTCACAACCTACTTCCCCGCAGCTATTTACATAGCGTTTCCATTGTGTGAGGCATTAAAGGTAAGCTAGAGAGGAGTTAAAATATAAGGGAGGATGTCAGGTTCTATGCAAATACTACTCCATTTTTACCTAAGGGACTGGAGCATTTGCGGATTTTAGTATCCCCAGGGGTCCTGGAAGCAATCCACCTGAGGATACTGAGGGAGAGATGGAGTATTGAGAAAGAAAGAGAAAGCAAAGTTTTGGATAATCATCTAGGGCTATAGATGTTTATCCGTTGGATATGTGCACATACCAGATGTTGCTGGAATGATGAAATTCCTTCTTTCCTAATAGTCAACTTGTGGAGATAACAGACAGTAAATACTTCCCTTAACTCCTTTATTTATAGAATTGATTTTTAAGCTGTCAGTGAACACAAGGTGTCCCAAAGAACAGGGGCAGTAAAACAGGTTGCTAGGCCCACTTAAGAGAGTATTATATTTTAGACACACAAAAAAGTTATAAAAACACTAAAACATATACATATATGTCTTCCACCTGGTTTAAAATTAATTATACTTTTCACTCACAGACTGTGACAGGTAGCACTACACACATCTCCATTTGTGGCAACTTGAGGTGTAGCCCCATGGGTGGAATCATTGCTCCACTCTCCCCCGTCCTTGTTCTAAAGGAAATGCCTCCCTGCCCCCACCCACGGCCCCATCTTGTGCCGTTTACCTGTCCCAGCTGCAAAACATCCCACTGTTTGCACCATATCTTAGTTCTTTAATTCTAAAATGCACATTTTTTCACATGTTGCAACAATGAATGACATAACCACTGTGGCTTCTTTTGTTGATATTTTATGTCTCTGAGATTGGGATATATCTTACAATTGATGAAGAAATATGATAAATAAAAACAGGCCCATTAATATTGGCTGGTTAAATTTACTATTTACACACTATTTCAACCAGCATCTTGGTACACAAGTCTTAGAGATTGGTGAGAAGGCACTTGACTAAGTGGTTGAGGCCTGCAAGACAAATGCATGTCCGTATTATCTTTGGGATAATTGGGCGTTCGTTGCAAGAATACCTAGAAATGTGGCAGGAGCTAAGATTGGAATGTAGAGGCTGGAGGAGATCTGAAACCACAACTCACTTGTTGCCATTAGAACCTAAGCTGCTTCTCCTCACCCCTTTTGCCTTTACTTCTCAAATAGAGGAGGTGTTTGGGTTTGTTGGCCGCCATCAAATGCAGAGCTCCCCTATTGGACAGAGTTTCAGGCCAAGCATTCCCAGAGGTAGTTCACCTCCCAGATGTCCAGCCAGACTGTGGTTATTCGGGGCTGCAGAACTGACCTTCAGTTTAGTCAGCTATGGCCAAGATGAAGGTCTGGTTCGTTTCTCATCTGGTAGGAGCCATGGTGACATACGTGAGGAAATCAATGACGTGACTCACCATCCCTCAAAAGTTGGCAATAGGCATTTCTTGCACTGGTGCTTCATGGGTTTTCCCTCATCTGCGATCTAAGTATAGCATTCTAGGCATGGCCAGAGCCTGGAAGCAGGATGTGTACTCCTATGTTTGGGAAACATCTGGAAGTCCAGATTGATTAGAGCACAAGATTTACATAGGGTAAGATTCCAGCAACATCTCTCCAACTGACAAACATCTACAGACCTAGATGATTATTGAAAACTTTGCTTTCTCTTTCTTTCTCAATACTATAATCCTCCTTTGGTATGCATGGTAGGTTGCTTCCATGACCCCTGAGGATACAAAAATCCTCAAATTCTCAAGTCCCTTATATAAAGTGGGAGGACAGGCAGGAAAGGGAACTTGAATGACAGGTAAGACTTGGAGTTTTATTCTGTGGTAGGAAGCCATTGAAGGGTTTCAAGCAAGGAAGTATGGCCAAAGTAGATCTTGCAAAAGATAGTTTGGTGGTGGTATAAGTCAAACTGTAAGGGGTCTGAGATTTTACCCTTCTTACAAGTTAAACAAGTTAGCCTGTTTGATTCCCCAAGCTCCACAGGGCAATACAGTGAGGGCCAGATGATACCTGCGCATGCTGGGGGTGCATTACAGGAGAAAACCCCCAAATTAGGCTCCTTTCTTATATGGAGCTGCTGGTGACCTGCTCGTACTTCTCTCTGGGGAGAGACTGTATCTTTACTCAGGCATGAAAACAAATCTTCTCTGGGGAAGAGGAGGCAAGGTCTTTTTCTCAGGAGGGAGATGTCTCTAAGCTCTACTTCCCTGGAATGTCTCCTTACATAAATATTCTTAAATTATGTGTAAATGCCTGTGCTCAGACATCCCAGACAGTGCAGGACTAGGAGATAGTCAAGGAGAATTGTCTCCCAACAGGTGCAGGGTGGATTGGAAAGGACAGTTCAGGGGCAAGAAGATCAGCTAAAAGCAATTGCAGTATTTTAGGAGTGAGAAGAAAGAGCTGAGCTAAGGTGATGGTGGAAGTTAAAACAGGGAGGAAAGATAAATACAAGAGACTTTGCAGGGGAGAATTTTGTAAGTCAAATTGACCCCTTTTACATTGTGGGTGGAGATGATCTTGGAGTTTAGAACCTGGCCGACATGGATAATGTTGATAACGTTAACAAAGACAGGAAAGTCGGATTTTAGAACTGTGAATCTGGGGCTGGGGGTGTGGTTGAGGGGAAATGGCCAGAGGCATTGAAAATGTAAGACCTGTTGGGAAAACAGGGCAGAATAGAGAGTTGGAAGTTCTTCATTGCCTTGAAGGAGACAACAGGAAGCCCTGGGGATGAGTGACTTCTGAGTAAGAGAAAACAGAAAGGTGAAAAGGCTGAGGGATGACAGCAGAGTCTTTTAAAATGTCTGCATTGAACAAGAAGGGAGAGGAAGATCAGGAAGTGGAGAAAGTGGGAAAGACCAAGAACAGGATAGTGCTGGGTCCTGGGACCCAAGGGAGGGAATTTCAAGATCCCTGTTAAATGTGCAGCACCATTTAAAAAATTAAAATTTAACATTTAAAAAAAGGTGAAGACTGAGCCAGGGCCTCTGGGACCAGCCATCAGGAAGTCAGTGGTAGAGTAGTATTGCTTAAATGGAGGAACCAGGAGCCAGAGGCAGGGGCTTAGCAGGTAGGATAGAGAAGTGGAGGCTGCATATGCAAGACCTTCAGGAGATTTGGTGATGGGAGCAAGGAGAGTGTAGGAAGGCACCGGCTTAAAGAAAAATGGACAATCTAAGGGTTTTGAGTTTTATTCAGGGACCTTACTGAAGACTATGGGCCAGGAGACAACCTCTTGGGAGCTCTGAGGAAACTACTCCCAAAAGATGGGGGAGAAACCAGCTTGTTTATGGTTTTTGGCTCGGGAATACGTGCAGTCAGCCTACATCTTGGTAAAAGATCACTGCTAGTCGCAAAGAGCAGATATCTCCAGTTAATGATATCAGTGCTTTTCCATGTACAGGAAGATGCAAGGATCTGGCTCTTAAAAATTCTTCCTGAGATATGCGTCTAACTACCTCTGGGGCCTGTTTTTCTGAAGCACAGAGTGTCTCACCCTGTCTTTCATCCCAAGTTCCTCTCAGGGTGCTGTCAGCGACTGCAGTGGCTATTGACTTAATTCTTGTAGGGCTGGGAGCTCAGCAACACCCTTTGTTCTTCTTTGTTTACAAAGGAAAGCTCAAAAGACAGGCAGGGGCAGGCAAGAGACTCTGGGTTTAAGATGGGAAAGTCTGAGCCTGTTTGTGAGCAGGAGCCTGGTCAAGGGGAGAGTGAAGGGCAGAGGCGTGTGCGCACAGACACCGTGTGCTGCCTGGCCCCGTGAACTGACCTCCAGCAGAGCTGCGTCTGCCTGAGTCTACCACTTGTCCTCTGCTCAAGCCCCTTGACTAGTCATTCCCACCTTTTCATCACTGTGGAGCACAACTTGGGCTTGTCCGTCAGGGTGCAGGGCAGTTGTCACAGCAAATCTGGGCTGGGTAGTCTCTCCATTCATTCTGCCT